GAAAGCGCCCTGGCTCTATGCTCAGAAAACAACGCGAGCCGAGGTGGCTTTGTTTCCTCAGCCCCAGCTGCTTTCAGTCCGCTCAGGAAGAGGAGGAGGAGGTGGTGGCAGCGGCTCGCATTATTTTCTGAGCTCTAGGCTCTAGGCTCGTGATCTCAGAAAACAACGCGAGCCGAGGTGGCTTCGTTTCCTCAGCCCCAGCTGCTTTCAGTCCGCTCGGGAGGAGGAGGAGGAGGTGGTGGTGGCAGCAGCGGCTTGCATTATTTTCTGAGCTCTAGGCTCTAGGCTCGCGATCTCAGAAAACAACGCGAGCCGAGGTGGCTTCATTTCCTCAGCCCCAGCTGCTTTCAGTCCGCTCGGGAGGAGGAGGAGGAGGTGGTGGTGGCAGCAGCGGCTTGCATTATTTTCTGAGCTCTAGGCTCTAGGCTCGCGATCTCAGATAACAACGCGAGCCGAGGTGGCTTCGTTTCCTCAGCCCCAGCTGCTTTCAGTCCGCTCGGGGGGAGGAGGGGAAGGAGGAGGTGGCGGCAGAGGCTCGTGTTATTTTCTGAGCTCTAGGCTCTAGGCTCGCGATCTCAGAAAACAACACGAGCCGCCGCCATCACCTCCTCCTCCCCCTCCTCCCGAGTGGACTGAAAGCAGCTGGGGCTGAGGAAACGAAGCCACCTCGGCTCGTGTTGTTTTCTGAGCCTAGAGCCAGGGCGCTTTCATTGCACGGCGGAGCTTCTTGTTTCAGGAAACACCGGGCGTCGTTGCTGCCCCCTGAGGGGAGGGCGATTCTGCGCTGCATGATTGGGGGACTTCGTGGCTTTGGGTGGGTGGGTGGGAGCGAGAACAGACCAAGTTCGCGAAGCGGGGCTTGCCTGCCCTTGCTGGCTGCCTCTGCTTCCTTAGGGGCGGGGAAGGGGCTCATCTGGACCAAGGGTGAGTCTCCCCCTCAGTTTCCCCTGAAGGATCTTCCGTCGCTTTTGCCTTCTCCCTATGTCTTCCCTCTGTTAAAATCCCCCCCCCACACACATTTATTTTCAGGCGGATAGATTTCGTTTCTGAGCATTCTCACATGACGGTGGGTCTCCCCACCCAAAAAAAAACAGTTAAATAAAAAAAACACAATACATCCTCATGCAAGAACTTTTCTGCTTCCGATTACCCCCATGCTTACAAGTTGTAAAGGAAACACGGAAGCAGGGAAGCGGCTGCCCAGCTCTGGAGCTCCACACCATTTTTTTTTTCAGAGGGAATCTCACTTGAGTATAAGCCGAGGGGGTTTTTTTCAGCACAAAAAATGTCCTGAAAAACTCGGCTTATACTCGAGTCAATAAGTTTTCTCAGATTTTTGTGGCAAAATTAGGTGCCTCGGCTTATATTCGGGTCGACTTATACTCGAGTATATACGGTATTTATATAAACTATCAAATTCAAAGCTTTGTTTCTTGACACTGATTGTGCTGTCCAGCCAGTGTATGGGAATTGGATAGTTAGCAATTGTGAGCTATCCCCTTAAGGGAATGCATCCTGGGAAATGTAGTCCATGTCACGTGACCACATCTGTAATCCTGATTGGTCACTAAATTGACCCTCGATGGGTTGGGGGAGGTTTCTTCACTCTTGTCTGAACTCACGGACTCGTGGTAACTGCTCTACCTCTACCACTATGAGATGGGAGGAAAGGGATAAGGAGATAACCATCTTTTTACCTACAAGACAGTTATGCAAAGGATTGGTCATTAAAGAAGAACTTCATCACAAATGTGAGTCATGAGGATACCTGATGAACCAATAATAAAGACTTGGTATGAATGTTTTGTTGAGTTTATCTATCTGCATCTGTACAGAAGACAAAATCTACCACTGAACAGAACACAGAAAACTGATGAACCACTTTCTCAAATCATTCCCTTGGAAATTTAATCCTAAATACTTCCTAATATCTTCAAGTGATTTTAATTATTTATTGCTTAATAAATAAGCAGTATAATTATTTATAAAGAATATATCTAGGCTTCATGTCAGATATAGTATACTATGTATGCTAAATAAATGATTTCTCTCAGAGGAAGAAGCTATTTATGACTGTTATAAATCAATTACCTAAATTTCCATTCTGACCTATAATTGGGACAATTTAAATGCCTTTTCAATAATTTTCAATAAATTTAAAAAATCAATTCATTTATGTTGTGTCATGCATTGTTTTTCACTCATTTGTGTGATAAATTGAGAACTCTTCTATTTTGTTTTTGCAGTAACACAGATGAAAATTCCATTTAAAATTTTGGTCTTTTTTTCTTTTTGGAAATTTTATTTGAGTTTTCACAAAGAGAAAAAAAAATACAAATAAAACATCTTTTTTGAAAGCAGCATAATCCCGGGTTACATTTCTTCATACAGACACAAATTCAGGTTCATGCTCATTTTTATATTCTATTCCATATCTTATTACTATTTTACATTTTCTGCATAGTTTCTCCCCTCTTTTAATTTTCTCAATTTTATTTTAATTATCTCATCTCAATTCAAATCATTGTATTTATATTTTTTGTCTGTCTTGTTTCAATTATCTATTATCTTTTCTCATTAAACAAAATTACTCCTGTAGTTACTGATTGGAGTATGACGCCTTTATATCTTTTCCCTAAAGTTGTAACATTCTATATAATACATAACTTCCATTCAAATTCTGCTTGGTACATTCTTAAAATACACACTGTATTCTTAAAAAAAGAAAAAAATTATAAATGTATCTAATTAAAACAACATTCCATTCCAATTCAATTCTATCATTGATATTAATATTCATTAAAGTCTTAACATCTTTAACATTACTTTTCAATTAAATATCATACTTCTATGGGAACAATTATAAGCTTTCCACAGTTAATTCCCCCCTCTTCACTTATATTTTATAAAACATTAACTAATTAAAATGTTCCCATTCCTTCCTAATTCAATTTTCTCATTTATTTCATTTCACTTATTTTATTCACAAACATTTCAGTAAATTACTGAAATTCAGTAAATTGAGTAGTTTGGAGAACCGGCAAATACCACCTCTAACTGGCCCCACCCCCATCTATTCTCTGCCTCCTGAGTCCCAGCTGATCTTTTGTTGCCCTGAACAGGAGAACAGAAGTGGAAAGCAGGTTATTAGGGTGGGGAGGGAATGGGATTTTGCAGTAACCTTCCCCTGCCACGCCCACCAAGCCATGCCCACAGAGTCGGTAGTAAAAAATTTGGAATCCCATCACTGGGCCAATCTATTCAGAAACCAGCCCCCAAGCCGAAACTGGGGAGGCCACCTTTTAGAAATACAGATTTGGTAATCCATTCAAGATAGAATATTTTGAAATTCACTGCAACAAAGTCTGAACAAAGGCAGAATGGTAGGATTAGTCATCACTCAAGATCCAACACAGGACAAAGCCATTAAGACACACAACCCATTCAGAACACAAGGCTGTTCATTGCATCATCTTAGAACAGTCCAAAGTTTAACCAAACCTGGGAGCTCAAACACCTAGGATTTGCATTTCCTCTTTTGCCTATAGAGCCAGCTATAACCCCTACATGACCGCATAGGAATCTGACAACAGCTAATAGAATACATGTTCTTGCACAGGAACAGGAAGTTCAATCCAAATTTATTAAAAGAATAAAGGAACAAATTATATAAATACAATTAAACAGTATCTTTGAAATGGTACTAGTAAAAGTCATTTATTTTAAGGCATCTTTCTAATGTTACAAATGCATGTATCTATTCTGAGAAACAGAGTATGTTCTGGTCTCAAGGTACTCCATCCTGCACAAACCAGCCTGCTGTATGAGCATTTATTTGTGATCTATTTACAGCTGCTCCATTGTTTTTAGAGAAGATATCCATTAGATGAGTTGTAGAATTGGAAGAAAGGAAAATACCATATTTTTGTACAAAGGGTAGATTGTAAAATACACACTTTTGTAGAAACTTTTTAAAAAATTACGATAAAGAGGGGGGAGAGAAAAATATTTTGATTAGATTGATAGGATTTTATTTCAAGACTTGTGAAGAGTCAGGATCTTCTACCTTAACTAACAACAGTATTTTAAATAAAATAGATGGGTAATCTTTATACCCCACTCAATAATTGTCAGCCTTCCAGCATCTACCTCTTGAAACAAACCTGTTCCTATCAGTCCTATCCCAAAATGTGTTTCTCATACAAACTAATTATTTCCTAGTAATAAATACACCATTTGAGTCTGCCCTGCTCTTGGGGAAATTGATAACACTCTTCTGGAATGGAATATCCACCATTACCTTCTTCAGTAAAAACCGTCTTTGTACTGCAGAAATTTGATTGCTTTCCTGACCTTCAAGTTTTGTTGCCATTTATCTTTTATATTCTCCTGCAACTAATTGCATGTAATAATTGGTTGCACATAGCAAAAATAATTTCCCTGCACAACTGCCTAGATTAGTTACAGTTGGGTAGCCATAGACCACGCAAAATCACTTGCCTGTCTCCTCCCAAATTATGCTGGGTAGCTTTTTTTGTAACAATATTTCAATTTCCCTAACTTGCTTAAAAATCAGCGCATGAAAGACAGAAGGAAAACGACTACGTTAGGAAAACCTATCTTAAGAATGACAAGCGAAACGTCGCTATCAGCAACGTAGCGGCGCATGCCCATTTTATTCTAGTCATCGATGTATATCGGTTTATGCCCGGATGGGTAAAAAAGAGAGGCGGGCCCACTTGGCCTCTGATTGGCTAATGTCACTCCCTGATGTCTTCTTATTGGCTATATATAAAAAAGCTACGTTTATTTCTTGTTCTCATTGGCTCCTCTCCCTCCTGCCAAGCTGCTGTATCTTTCGGGTAGTACCAGCGCCGATTCCTACCCATTCTATCTTATCACGTCCATTTTCTGTTCAGGGATTGGCTGCTCTGGGAATTCTTTCTCCTCCTCTTTCTCTCGACAGGATAGATTCTGTTCTGAAGAGCGAATGAAGTTCGACGGTTAGAATTGGGCTGTATCCCTCCCTCGCGTCTTCTCTTTCGGCCCCGCCTCTCGGGCTCCTTGCCGCGACGAGCAGCCCCTCTTTTTCGCCCAGTGGTTCGGGTGAGGGAGGGGGGGGGGGGTTGCCGGCTGTGTCTGCGTCTGCTCCAGCGAGCTCTGAGGGGATTCCTCCTCCTCCTCCTCCTCCTTTTTTCTCTCTCAGCCGTGCGCGCGCCTGCCAACGCTTCTGGGATAACGGTAAGCATGGGGCAAGTTGAGCCGGGAGCGCGGCGGTTGGCGGCGAGGGCACCTCTGAAGTCGCGTGGAGGTACACGAAAAAAAGCGGTTTAGGTTGGAATGGGTGACTGGGAGAGTTGCGCGGCTGGGGCGATCTGCCTCTCCCCGTCCCTTGTGCGGGTCCGTAGCGCTCGCGCCTGAACAATTGGAGGTGCAATTCCGAGAGGGGGTTGTGCCGGACTCTGCGCGCCTGTGCCAATCCCGGCTCCAGCCTTGAGGGTTTGGGCCCCGTTTCGGCCGTTCGTGGCACCCGCCTGATCGCCGGTGCTGTTGGCGGAAGGAGGAGGGACACCGCTACACTCACCCCTCGCGTGGTACTCGGTGCGCTTTACTCAAACGGGAAGACGACCTCCTCCTCCTCCTCCTCCTCCGGCTTGTTCTTTGATTAGCCGAAGTATTCGAGAGTTGAACTCCGCTTCCCTCCTCTTTAAGCCGGATCTGCCTGCCGCTAAACTTACGTCTATCTTTCTGAGTGGATGTGTGAAGGGGGAAGTTCGTTCGTTAAAGCATCCCTTTGCCTAATCTGGTTTAAAATAAACAGCGACAGGTGCCGGGAGCAGAACTGTTTTTCTTCCTTCCATCTTTCAAGCACAGCTTCTATATAAAACTAGTGCTAAGGACGGTGTTTCCCAACGCGCTGCTCTGATATTACACATCATAAAGTCTTTATACAGCTGTTTTGGCTTTTGATCAACAATTTTTTTTCCGGAAGAAGGAGGCAATATAAACATGGTAGGAAAACAGAAGTGGTTGTGGGCCAGTTATTCTTCCTCTTCTTCTTTCTGCTATTTTGCCAAATGGGGAAATCAGCTGTGAATAAAATTCTTCCGTGGAACTGTAGAAACAGTAAAATTAGTGGTGATTCCAGATAAATGAAATGATCTGAGACCCCATTTAGGGAACATTCAGCCTCAGTGCTCAAGTTTTCTGAAACAGTTGGAATTACACTGTTCAAAAGGAATCTTTCATCTTCTCCCTAATGATACAAACTGGCAGGATAACCAAAGTCAACCTAGACAAAAATGAGGTCAGGTAAACCATTGGAGCTTGGGTGCTTACTATTGGTGTTTCCAGTCTGAAAAAAGGAAAAAATAAAATATTCATGTCCTAGGGAGTTTTTTTTCTCATATTTTGATTAAAGCTATGATTTGCAGAGTAAAGTAAGGGAAAACAATATTGAATGGTCATAACTAGGCCTCACAAGAATGGGCTACAAAGATATGGTTAATTATAAGACAACTAAATGTTTTGGAGGAAAGACTTTTTCTATATTATACTTTTTTTCTTCAGTGCTAAAAATATTCCATACAGTAATCTCTCTTCATTGCAAGAAAGACTTGAATCACAATTTTAGCTTATTCTGTGACTGATCATTGTAATCTTAATAATAGTGGCTCAATGTGGCTGAGCGGGTCTATACTGTTTCCTCATCTACTAATTCAATATCTATATAGGTCATCTTTTTATAGAAAAATAATTATTGTCTCAGAATAGCTCTTTTACAATAGGTTATTTATATTAGTGGCAAAAAAAAAATCATTTCTGGTTGGGTAGCCGAAGGAAATAAAACACTTTTCACTCATATTGTTTGAGTGAACTATAAACTATAGCTACTGTTTTTAAAAAAATCAAGCACTCACTATGTGTCCCATAATTGTGCTATAATATGCTGGCATCAAAATAGATAAGTTTATACTGAAATGAAGGCTCATCTTCAAATACTAATTGCAAAATGTGACTCTACATTTTAAACCATATATACCCATTAACTCATTTTTTTCTGAGTTAATCAGTTAAAAGGCTATGGGATATAACTTGGCAATATAGGTTGCACTTTATATTGCCCCTAGGCTGAGATGGTGATTCTGCCTAAGATTTTTTTTTCTGTGCAGTTTTGAAATATGTAAAAGGAGTACCACACACAATTTATTTAAGATACTTTGATATACAGGACCTTGAATAGATTGTGTTTAATATTTTGTGCACCTGCAACTGCATCCACATAGTATAAACCTTAATATTGGAAACACTTAAAAATGAAATGATAGATTTTTCTAGCAGAAAAACTTTCTAACATGAAAGAACAAATTCCAGGAATATAAAACAGCACTGGCAAATATGAAAAAGAATAATTAAATAGTAATTAAGCTTAGAATGTTTTGGGTTCTATTTGGCACTTATAAAACTAGCTGATTATTTTTGAATACTTATTACTGTGATATTCATTATATATACTTGGTTTTAAAATACAGAAGCATGTCCTATAGTTATGAATCTATTGAATTTCTTGTGGTATAATGTTGATTTAAGATTGTGAGAATTGTGGCTCTACTACCTGAAGGATATTAGATTGGAGCAACAGTATTGCAGTGTGCAATACAAAATTTGGGAAGTGTATTGTTTTAAAGTTAAATTGAAAAAAATGTCAGTGCAAGAAAGCTGGCTTAGACTACAATTGACCCCAAAATTTATGTTGCTAAATGAGACATTTGTTAAATGAGTTTTGCCTCATTTTATGACCTTTCTTGCCACAGTTGTTAAGTGAATCACTGCAGTTGTGAAGTTAGTAACATGGTTGTTAAGTGAATCTGGCTTCCCCATTGACTTTACTTGTCAGAAGGTCACAAAAGGGGATCATAAGACCCTGGGACACTGCAACCCTCATAAATATGAACCACTTGCCAAGCATCCAAACTTTGATCACATACCCATGGTGATGCTGCAATGGTGATAAGTGCGAAAAACAGTCATAAGTCACTTTTTAAAGTGCTATTGTAACTTTGAATGGTCACCAAATGAACTGTTGTAAATTCTGGACTGCTTATATACAATGTGGCAGAAAGGCTAACATGAAATATTTAATTTAATTCAACAGATGCAGTTTATGTTGCTTTTTAGTCGCCAGGGAAAACTGAGACTTCAAAAATGGTATGTCCCATTATCTGACAAAGAAAAGAAGAAAATCACAAGAGAACTTGTTCAAACAGTCTTAGCCCGTAAACCGAAAATGTGCAGCTTCTTGGAATGGAGAGATCTGAAGATAGTCTATAAAAGGTTGTATTGCTTTATCACATTTTTGGGAAAAACTATTTAGGATCAGAAAATCAAGTGATTTATTTTCTTATAGAAAATGCCTTTTATTTAATTCATACCTAAAATGCTAATAATACATTTTAAAATGTACTGAAAAAATATGAAATTATTTTGTATATGTATCTGTGTGTATGCGATAGAAAGAATGATAGATAGATAGATAGATAGATAGATAGATAGATAGATAGATAGAT